GCTGGCAGATATAAATAATAAATGAAACCAAAGCAAATGAATAAATGAATAAATAAATAAATCGCAGTCCAGTAATGGTGCTTGCTGATTCCCAGTGCAAAAGTTAGAAATGCACACTAACCAGAAACGTATTAATAATACGCATGTGTATATGATATCACAGTGGCTTTGGAAGCCGCTGTGAAAACTGCTAACCATGTGATACCCAACATTTCTCGAAGCTTCTGCAGACCCAGATTGATCCCTGCACCAGCCTTTGAGAGGAGGAATTTTCCACTCCACACACTTCTGTAAGGATTTCTGTGACCTGCTGGACCTCCATTTCGCCACACGAGGGCGCTTCATCTCTACTATCTCCAGCTCCTGCCCATTACCAGACCAGAAAAGAGAGGGGAATCTCTATGATATCATATACACATGCGTATTATTAATATGTTTCTGGTTAGTGCGCATTTCTAACTTTTGCACTGGGAATCAGCGAGCACCATTACTGGACTGTGATTTATTTATTGATTTATTTATTCATTTGCTTTGGTTTCATTTATTATATTTATATCTGCCCGCAATATAGTAACATCACACAGCGCTGCATTTTCTTTATATATATATTTTTGGGACTTTTATGTGTTTTCCTTGAATGTTCAGCTGCTGACCATTGGAGCGCTCACTGTATTTTTTATACTCTCATATCTTTCAGATTTGAAACAGCGCGGCCGTGCGGGGTCGCCCACACGGTCGCCAACTCGGCTACCTCTCTCATTCACAGAGTTCTGTGGACGAGTGCCTACAAGTCCCAACAGCCTTAGCAGCTGTGGGCTTGTAGTTTTCAATGACCTACCGTGGAGTGCCGTGGTAGTCCATTGAAGCATCCTGTCAGTATATCCGCTTGACCGTTCATCCCGTACACCCCATATGGGAAGCAGATATTCTGACAGGTCTGCAGAAGACCTGCATGGCATCAGCGATCTACTGATTGCTGGTGCAATGCTTTCCAGGCTCCTTTGGACAAAAAAAATAAATGCCCATTTTTTTTACTTGCAAAAAATTAGCATTTTTTTATTTTTGGCCAAAAGCTGAACTTATCCTTTAAGCCTGTTCCGGAAAATGAGGGAGGTTCCTAGGTGGGTCTTTTTTATATGTGTTTTCTGGAACAATAATATTTTATTGAAACGCCGAGGTCATTGGTGCTTACTTTTGCTGTGCAGTACACATGGAAGGATGTTTGTGATGTACAGTATTTACATCACTTGAAGTGGATGTCAAACTAATATTTTTTTTTCTTGTGATGAGATGTGAAAGCATTGAAATTGTTTAGAGTCCTCATTGGGAATTGATTTTCCCTCACTCCCTGCCTCTGATGTCACCAATCTCTAAAATCTCTCCTATGGGCAAAAACAATAAAAAGATCTAACCCTGTCCTACTTTAGTAGATAAAAGCGTCTGTTCCCTTAATGGAGATGTTGCCTTTCTCTTTTTGTACTGGTGGCGTAAGTCACTAGGACAATAAGTGAAAGGAAATCTAACTTTTTTTAGCTTTAGGTGTTTTTAAAATCTGACAGTTGTTCTAACCTTTCTCAAAAGATAAATCTGGCCATGGATGGTTTGAATCTCGGCCAATTCAGCAGGGGCTGGCTGAGATTCCAGCCATGCATGAGCAAGATAAATGTACCCAAGTTGATTGATCGATCAAGAAATGTGCTCCTGCTCAACGAAACATTGGCTTGATTTCCACTAATTTTTGGGTTAGATTTATGTATTCATTTTTAAATTTATATATTAACTGCAGTTGACAAATAGATATATATTTATTTATTTTTTGAGACATTAGCTGGGAATATGGTGGATGGTGTACGTGTGTCATCTAGGTTCCTCAAATGTACATGAGGAGGAGCCCTAGAGTCTGTATCTCATGTGGAGAAAGCAAACTTTTTGTTTTCTCTGAATCCTCAGTCTTTGTCTGAAGACTGGAGGCTTTTTAGAGCTTTAGGTGGGATAATGTCCCTTGTTCTTAGATCCACATCTTATTTGGTAGCCGTACTTCATCAGCATCAGTCTCAGCTGTGCACAGGCCAGGGGCAGACTAACCATTCAGGCTCTTCGGGCACTGCCCGAAGGCCCGGGTTCAGTAGAGGGCCCCATGAGATGCTCCTGGTACCTTTCATAGGCTTTTTTAGGTGTGGTTTGAGTGTGGGCAAGGACACAGGGGCCCCATGAGCCCCTATTATCCCAGGACCCCATGAGTTGTCAGTCTGTCCCTGGCATGGGCTTTATGTTTGTGAGATGACTGATGCTAATGGCTCTTTGCTGTGAGAACCTTTTAGATTCTGGTACACGGAGAAACAAAGCAACAAAAGGGCAGCACTAAAACAGGAAAAAAAAACCTTAATTAGAACAGTGAGATCCATAACGATGCTCAGGCTCTGAAGTGTCCTCCCAACACCGAATGCAATATACAAAAAACAGGAAGAGCCAGCAAACTCTGAAATCATTATCAAAGCTTTATTAGTGATACAGGAATGGCATAAAAAAAGCCTTGATTCTGGTACACAGAGGCTTTGTAGAGCTTTGGGTGGGATAACTCCTTTATTCCTAGGTCCACATCCTTTCAGGTAGCCTGACCTCAGGTCTTTATAAATGTGAGTCAACTGATGCTCAGGACTCTTTTTGCTGTGAAAACCCTCTAGGTCCTGGAGCCTGGAGGCTTTGTACAGCTTTAAGTGATATAAAGCATTCATTTCTAGGTTCACATCTTGCCCAGTTGTCCATGCTCTTGATCTGCTGCGTATTGAGGAGAAACTATTGTCTCAAGACTACAACACTTCTGTCAGTGCTGGTTTTTTGGTTCCTCACAGTGCTCAGAGCTTTGATCCAATGGACCCTACTGACCTCACTGTGTCTCTTAGTAATTTAGAGGCCTGTGAGAAACCACAGAGCTCCTTATAGACACAGGTATCCAACAGTTCAAGACATGTTGGATTTTGAAGAGTCAGACAAATATGAATAGTTAAAATGGCCATTGGATGACAGATGGCTGGCAGAGCATATTTTGGATGGATGAGTATAAATCTGAGGTGTTCTCATAAGAGGGGAACATACTGTATGTAAGTTGGAGAGCAATTGAATGGGGTTTGAAGGAATGCTTGGAGTCCCATGTCAAGTGCAATGGACGAACATTGATGGTATAGGGGATAAGGTGGGAGCTTTACACAAAGTGCAAGAATTAACCAAAGTGGCTACCACTGAGGATTAGTGAAATGAGCGTGTATAATTGACTTTGCAGTGAAAATGGAAATATTGCTGTTGGGGGAAATTTCACCAAATTGTGAATTTCCCAATTTTACTAACATAGGTGTCCATTTATAAAAGAGAGAAGAGCAGAGATCCTGATGATCACAGCTGATCTCTCAGGTGTGACAGTTTATGAAGCTGAGGTGAGGAGGGGAGAACATTTTTCTTCACTTCTCAACACAGGACACATCCTTCTGTCATTCACTTTTACTGAGATGGCCAGTTTATGAAGGGGTGTCAGGAATGGACTTGCCAGTAATGGTGGGACTCACCTGCCTTGTGGGCTGCAGTACCAGGGCTGGCCAGCGGGTGCTCTCAGCAATCAGAGACTCAACCCTGCAGCCAGCCAAACACCTGAAGCTGATTATGCAGGTGTATTTAAGGGATGGCCAGACCTGAAGTCTGTGCCTTGGTGTGTGTTTTTCCATGGGCCCCTGTATCTTGTAACCTGCGTTCCTGTTTCTGCCTCTGCCTCTGCCTGACTTGTTGCCGACCCGGTCTGATCCTGACCCTCTGCTGACTTCTCCTGTTTTGATCCCTGGCTTGTGACCCTGACCATTCTCTCCGCCTGCTCCTCCTGTACCTACCTGCCCGATAGTTATCGACCCGGCCTGCCTGATTTCGTTGTGCTCTATATGTGTATGTACCTGTGTATCTGTATCAGTTTAGGTTTGGGTTTGTTTCACCTTTTTGTATGTATTTGTGTTAGCTTGGGGTTTGGTGCACTGCGTTTATATTTGTATTGTTAGTCTTTAATAAATTGTCTTATTGTTTATAACATATCTGAAGCCTGCGTTTCCCTGAGTAAGTTCACATACCTCTGGTCATACCCGGAGCCCTGACATTACACCAAGGCCAATCCTGACCAGAAGTGGCTGCACAGGGAAGCCATCTTGGCTTGTTGCTGGGAAGGATGGATCTTGATGAGGTTGTGTATTTGTCGCTGCTGGTTTTTGATGACAGAGAATATGCTTATCAGACTCTGAGGGAGTATCCCCGGGATCAACTGCTAGAATGTATACGGATCGCTCATGTTCTAGTAGATCAGGGCACAGAGTTCTCTGAGGTGCAACCTTTGATTCAGGTTTGTGTAGAGTTAGCTTCATCTGGTACCCCTGAAAGCAGGAATGACTTTTTGCCACCATTTGGTGCAGACCAGGTAGAGTCCTGGTGTGGTTATTAGAGGATGATGTGGATTGCTTCTTGGAGCATTATGCTGCATGTTCGCCACAGATACTAAGAGATTGTATAAACGCAGTGCAGTCATTGACCAGACAGGCTTTGTGTAAGCTGAGCTTTGTTCACCCATACTGCAGACATGGTCAGACTTGTTGCACCCAGCCTCAGTCAGCTTACAACGTCATTCCTCCGCTCAAGGCACTCTTCCTACATCCCCGACAGCACCCCCAGTGACTGCCCAGTATACTCTGCTAACTACCACATATCAGTCCTCTGCTCCCACTCGCTGCACCTATCCTTTCTTTAACCCTGTAAAGAAGTCCTCTGTAGCAACTGCTCCCTCCTCTGTTCCATCCTCCAGCTCTTCTCTGTCTTCAGCTGCTCCATCCATTTACAAACCTGCGCTTACTTACAGTGCTCCGGTAACTAAAACCAGAAAAAAGCGAAAATTCTTCCCAACCAGTACCATCCTGCCAGTATCCAAACCGGTGAGCCTGCCGTCTGAGAACCTGCCTTCCGTGGTTCAGCCTGGTGCCTCGGCACCCGCACTTCAGCCTGATGTCTCTACCCAGCCTAATGTCTGTACCCAGGCCTGATGAACTGATCCAGCCTGATGATCCTATCACGCCTGATGACCCAGTGCCCGCTGTCATGCCTGGTGACCCGATGCCCGCTGTCGAGCCAGACGATCCAACACCAGATGACCCGGTGCCCACTGTCGATCCAGACGATCCGGTACCTGATGACCCGGTGCCCGCTGTCATCCTTGGTGACCCGATGCCCGCTGTCGGGCCAGACGATCCAATGCCTGATGACCCAGTGCCCGCTGTCATGCCTGGTGACCCGATGCCCGCTGTCAAACCAGACGATCCCGGTACCTGATGACCCGGTGCCCGCTGTCGTGCCAATTGACTCAGAGCCCACTGTCGTGCCTGGTGACTCGGTGCCCACCGCCTTGCCAGATGACGTGGTGCCCGCTGTCGAGCCAATGACCTGATGCCTGGTGACCCGATGCCCGCTGTCGAGCCAGACGATCCAATGTCTGACCCAGTGCCCGCGGTCATGCCAGTTGACTCGGAACCCACTGTCATGCCTGGTGACTCGGTGCCCACTGCCTTGCCAGATGACGCGGTGCCTGCTGGCGAGCCAAATGACCTGATGCCTGGTGACCCGATGCCCGTTGTCGTGCCTGATGACCCGGTCCCCCCGCCGCTCCGCCTGGAGGCCCGGTGCCTGCCGCCCCTCCTGGGGCCCGGCGCCCGCCGCTCCGCCTGAGGGCCCCGGCGCCCGCCGCTCTGCCTGAGGGCCCGGTGCCCGCCGCTCGGCCTGAGGGCCCGGCGCCCGCCACTCCGCCGCCCCTGGGGCCCGATGCCTGTCGCTCCGCCCAAGGGCCCGGCGCCTGCCGCCCCGCCTGAGGGCCCGATGCCTGTCGCTCCGCCCGGGGGCCCGGTGCCTGCCGCCCCTCCTGGGGGCCCGGTGCTTGCCGCTCCGCCTGGTGGCCCGGTGCCTGCCGCTCCGCCTGGGGGCCCGGTGCCTGCCCTCCACCTGGGGGGACCGGTGCCTGCCGCTCCGCCTGGTGGCCCGGTGCCTGCCGCTCCGCCTGGTGGCCCGGTGCCTGCCGCTCCGCCTGGGGGCCCGGTGCCTGCTGCTCCGCCTGGTGATCCGGTGTCCAGCCCGATGTGCCTCTGCCCGGAGTCCAGCTCGATGTGCCTCTGCCCGGAGTCCAGCTCGATGTGCCTCTGCCCGGAGTCCAGCTCGATGTGCCTCTGCCCAGAGTCCAGCTCGATGTGCCTCTGCCCGGAGTCCAGCTCGATGTGCCTCTGCCGGAGTCCAGCTCGATGTGCCTCTGCCCGGAGTCCTGCCCGATGTGCTCTCTGCCCGGAGTCCTGCCCGATGTGCCGCTGCCCGGAGTCCAGCCCGATGTGCTGCTGCCCGGAGTCCAGCCCGATGTGCCGCTGCCCGGAGTCCTGCCCGATGTGCCAGTCTTTGATATCCCGCCAGTTACCAGACCGGGTGGTGGAACATTTTTCCCAGCTAGGACTGTTTGGAGCGTCCTGAGGCCGCTCCTTGATCGCCGCGCGGGGGGGGGTACTGTCAGGAATGGACTTGCCAGTAATGGTGGGACTCACCTGCCTTGTGGGCTGCAGTACCAGGGCTGGCCAGCGGGTGCTCTCAGCAATCAGAGACTCAACCCTGCAGCCAGCCAAACACCTGAAGCTGATTATGCAGGTGTATTTAAGGGATGGCCAGACCTGCAGTCTGTGCCTTGGTGTGTGTTTTTCCATGGGCCCCTGTATCTTGTAACCTGCGTTCCTGTTCCTGTTCCTGCCTCTGCCTCTGCCTGACTCGTTGCCGACCCGGTCTGATCCTGACCTCTGCTGACTTCTCCTGTTTTGATCCCTGGCTTGTGACCCTGACCATTCTCTCCGCCTGCTCCTCCTGTACCTACCTGCCCGATAGTTATCGACCCGGCCTGCCTGACTACGTTGTGCTCTATATGTGTATGTACCTGTGTATCTGTATCAGTTTAGGTTTGGGGTTTGTTTCACCTTGTTGTATGTATTTGTGTTAGCTTGGGGTTTGGTGCACTGTGTTTATGTTTGTATTGTTAGTCTTTAATAAATTGTCTTATTGTTTATAAACATATCTGAAGCCTGCGTTTCCCTACGTCAGTTCACATACCTCTGGTCATACCCGGAGCCCTGACAAGGGGAAATCTCTTTAAAATATCTCCATCCCAGATTCTCTAGCCCAGAGCTGGAGAATCTTGGTGAGAAGCTGCTCTGATGTGAGGACGAAGGCTTCTTTCTTCCTAATATCAGCACCAGCGGGGTTAAACATTGGTATAAATTATAACTATATATGTTTATGTATGTATATACTGTATGTATATTTGTGTTTTATATATACTGTAGTGTGTATATATATATATATACAGTTGTGTCCAAAATTATTCAACCCCCAATGCTGTAAAGGGGTTTAGGGACTATAGTGTACATTTGGAATTGTATTCAGAATCAAATCCTACAAGGACGTTGTAACTACCCAAATGCAACTAAAATGACATCAATTGTTTATGTAATACAGTAGTAAATGGTTCTTATGTGGTTTTCTTCATTGCCACAATTATTCAACCCCTTAAAGACTTAACCACTCTGAAGAACAGAGGTTCATACAGGTGCTTTCCATCAGGTATTGAAAACACCTGTGGATGTTCACACGAGCAGCAATCAAGCATAATAAGCACCAATTAGGCAGCTTTAAAATGACTGTGATACTCAGCTCCTTCTAGACATTTACTGGTGTGGTTACAAACATGGTGAAGGCAAGAGAATGGTCCAGGAAGACAAGAGAAGAGGTGATTTCTCTTCACAGGAAGGGCAATGGCTATAAGAAGATTGCAAAGATGTTAAACATACCAAGAGACACCTTAGGAAGCATCATTCGCAAATTCAAGGCAAAGGGCACTGTTGAAACGCTACCTGGTCGTGGCAGAAAGAAGATGCTGACTTCGACTGCTGTGCGCTACCTGAAGCGTAGAGTGGAGAGAAGTCCCCGTGTGACTGCTGAGGAACTGAGAAAAGATTTGTCAGATGTGGGTACAGAAGTTTCAGCCCAGACAATAAGACGCACACTGCGTAATGAAGGCCTCCGTGCCAGAACTCCCAGGCGTACCCCCTTGCTGTCTCCAAAGAATAAGAAGAGTCGACTGCAGTATGCCAAAAGCCATGTGGACAAACCACAAAAGTTGTGGGATAGTGTTCTGTGGACTGATGAAACAAAATTAGAACTGTTTGGGCCCATGGATCAACGCTATGTTTGGAGGAGGAAGAACAAGGCCTATGATGAAAAGAACACCTTGCCTACTGTGAAGCATGGTGGAGGGTCAATCATGCTTTGGGGCTGTTTTGCTTCTGCAGGTACAGGGGGAAGCTTCAGCGTGTGCAAGGTACCATGAATTCTCTTCAGTACCAGGAGATATTGGATGGAAACGTGATGCAGTCCGTCCACACACCTGAGGCTTGGGAGACGTTGGACCTTTCAACAGGACAATGATCCCAAGCATACCTCCAAGTCCACTAGAGCATGGTTGCAGAGGAAAGGCTGGAACATTTTGGAGTGGCCATCGCAGTCACCAGACTTAATCCGATTGAGAACCTCTGGTGGGACTTAAAGAAAGCAGTTGCAGTGCGCAAGCCTAAGAATGTGACTGAACTGGAGGCCTTTGCCCATGAAGAATGGGCGAAGATACCCGTAGAAAAGATCGCTGCAAGACACTGTGTCAAGCTATGCTTCACGTTTAAAAGCTGTTATAACTGTAAAAGGATGCTGTACTAAGTACTAAGATTGAATGTCACTTGGGGGTTGAATAAAACTGATAATGCTGTGAGCACAGAAAAGACATTTGTGGTTATTTCATTATAACTGTTATGTTATATTGTCCTGACCTACAAGTGCCTCTTTAATGTAAATGTAAGCAAGATGACTGAATGCCCCTTCAAAAGCAATGTCAAACTGGCCAAAACACTCAATTTCAGTGGGGGTTGAATAATTTTGGACACAACTGTATATATATACACTACTGAGGACTCCACCTCCGCAACATCACCAAAATCCGCACGTTCCTAACCCCAGAAACCACTAAACAGCTCATCCACTCCCTCATTATATTATTACTCAATTACTGCAACTCCCTCCTCACTGGCCTGCCTCGCCGCTGGGTATCCCCGCTTCAGTCGATCCTGAATACGGCTGCCAGACTCATTCACCTTACCAACCGCTCCATCTCCGCCACCCCCCTCTGCCAATCCCTCCACTGGCTTCCGATTGCGCAACGGATCAAATTCAAAATCCTAATGCTGACGTACAAAGCTGTCCACCATACTGCCCCGAACTACATCACTGACCTAATATCCAAGTACCGCCCAGCACACACACTCCGCTCCTCACAAGACCTCCTTCTCTCTAGTTCCCTGGTCTCCTCCTCCCATGCCCACCTCCAGGACTTCTCCAGGGTGTCACCCATCCTCTGGAACTCCCTGCCCCAACCCATCAGATTATCACCTACTCTCCTCTCCTTTAGGCTCACCCTGAAAACCCATCTCTTCAGGGAAGCCTACCTCACCCCCTGCTAACTTGCTGACCTCCTCCACTCTTCCTACCACCCCATCCCCACAGCTATCTCCTCCTGTGCCACCATCCCCTCCCTCCTAGATTGTAAGCTCAAAAGAGCAGGGCCCTCAATCCCCTCATGTTTTGCATTGTATTGGTATTGTTCTGTTCACATGTTCTGTCCCCCTCTGTAATGATTTTGGTGCAGTTTTTAACATTTTGCTGTTTTTTTCAACACACATTTTTTTAAACTATGCTACTTTAACTGGAGATTGAGCTATCATGTAACACTAAACATTCATAACTTTGGGCCTAGAATGTGTTCAGCTAAATGTCTTTGGTAAAAAAAAAAAAAAAAAAAAAAATCTCAATAAGTATCTATTAATTAGTTTGTGTGAAAGGTATAGCTATGGTATTTATCCTGAAATGTACACAGTTATGACACTATACAGCAGCCTTTCTCAACGCAGAGGAACCCTTGACATAACTTTCCGGTCTCAGGGAACCCCTGTTAAAAATGACTATATCTACAATTCATGATACATTAGCGTGATGGTCGGTGGGAAGAATGCTCCTTACACTTGTGGGCATTGGGAAGAATTACCCCCCTTATATATAGCTAAAAAGATCGGTGATGTCAGTGGGGACTTATCTGAGAAGCAAAAAATTGCTGATTGCTTAAGGAACCCCAGGCAACCTCTGGAGGAACCCTGGTTGAGAAACCCTGCTATACAGTAATGGCAGTGATGATGGAATTATAGTGTGACTGTGATAGGGTGGCAGGCCATACATACATCAGGAACTGTCGCTAACTGACACTGACTTCTCTAGTAATACTAATACAGTGATAGGGATGGGCTACATGTTCGAGTCGAACCTAAGTTTGACTCAAACATGGGCCGTTCAGCTGTTTGCATACCGCGCCCCACAATGCACTGCTCCCTGACATA